AATTCCAATCAACGAGGTGTACTTCGTCTCCAAGCATGTCAAGAATTCCAAGCAACGAGGTGTACTTCGTCTCCAAGCCAGGTGGAGGGGTCCGGGTATTGGAAGGTGATCGACTCATGGCATGGGGACAAGCTGGGTGAAATCAAATAAATGAACGTGGAGCCAAGGGTCATGGTGGTGAAGTAACAAAGGTTGTGGACATGTCATTGGATACATTCAAGAAAAAGAAAGTCGATGGAAATGGTTTTGCTGCAAAAAAGGTTAAAGTAAGGTGAGACTGAAATCTAGCGCGAGCTCACTCGTGGACGTTCAGCGATGGGAATGCGGGGGTTTCGAAAGGAGGTGTGGCCGCGTAATTCGCCTGCCAACTCATCGGGGTCAAACCGGGTGGTATGCATCAATCCGAAGGTGGTCAACAGCTCCTGCAGTGCAGTGGAGGGCCGTGTATAGGTGACCTGCCATGTTGATACTGGCTCCCAAGCCACGAAGTTGCACTTGAAGATGAGGACATGTGACAACTTCCAAGAAAGAAGGATGCACAATGGCCCATGGGGCGCATGTACATGAAGGATTTCCCGATGTAGCGCAGCTTGAGCCGCCATAGGGATGCCCTCCGTCCGCGCCAAGCCAGCGGGCGAGGAAGTGGGGAGGAACTCATCACTCCAAAATGCTAAGTTCTCCACAGGTTCCAGCGAACCTCAAAAGTACTTTGACCGCTGTGGTCACCTTGTGCCCTGCCAAAGTGGCTGGCTGCTTTGACCGCTGCGGTCACGTAGAGGCATGAGCCAACTTGGAATTCAATAATCCGACAAATCTTGGCAAATAACTTTGGCATAAGCCTCCTGCTGTCCGCTTTGGACACCTACGTTCCCGGGCAGGGGGAACAATGGACAAACCCCCGTTCGACGGGTCCACGGGAGGCACTCTACGGGCTCATCCCGGGCTGGCGCGAGGCCAGACACACTTATGGACATGCGTACTGACTTGACAGCGGTGCCACACGCCGGCCTAAGTGAAAAACCAAAGGAACTAGGACAGGTGTCAGCAAGTGGAGGCCCTTACTGCAAGGTTGGAGGCCAGCAAGACTCAAAAACACGAAACGCGAGCAGCGATTGGCAATAGAACCGCATGAACCACCATGAAAGCAAACCGCAGCGAGAAGAACAGGTAACCAGTTTCGCAGGTTCGTTTACACGGGCCGCAGAGGAGGTCTTCGTTGGCCACCGCTCCTCTACACACATGATGGTGCCATTCGACTCTTGAAAAAAAGCGTCGGGCAGGTTTGGTTAAAACACTTTTGTGACTTTTGTGTGGAAAAAAGACGCTTTGCAGTCTTGTTTCCACGCAGAAACAAAGGCAGACCTCGCATAACTTGAACTGCCATTGGGCAACCGTGACATCAAAAATTGCTTTCGCGTGCATCTTCAAACGAAAATCGTCGAACCACTCGCGGGCATTGTGGTTGGCTTGCAGTCTTGGAATCAAGCGGATTTGCTGGAGAACACAGATGGAAGGTCTTGCCCTCAAACCAAACCTCATCACAACGACGCAGGAAAGACTCTCCAAGACTCCAAGACGGGGGGTTCTCGGAGAGGTCCACGTCTCCGAGAGGTTCTCATGTGCATCTCGTGTGGGGTGGGGGGGATTGGGAGGGGATTAGCGCACGAACATGGTTTGATGGTATGTTTCTGGAATGTTGGTTGATGTTCATGTGCACACGCGTTTGATGTTATGCTTCTTTCATGTGAAGGTGATGTTCATTCGCAAAATGGTAACTTGATGTCCGGGTGGGTTATGGAATGTTTTTTTGGGAGATAATTTCGGATCAAGACTTTTAGGTTGCTCCTGTTTTTTCTTGCGCTTTGTTGCTTCGCTGGCCCGTATCTCTTTGACTTGTGTTCGTACCAAACTTTTGTTGTTTCGAATCAATCCCTTCTAGACCAGTGGCTGGACATCTTTTCGGCTGACGACATCGATTCCTTTGTTCGTTCTTGCTTTGATTCCTGATTGTCATTGGTTTGATCCTTCCGAGGTTGCCCTCACTCGTGTTTGCTGGCTGATGCATGGTTACGGTTGACACACCGGAAAGCAACTTTCACAAACATTGTTGGCTTCTGCGTTTGTTATTTCTCGACGTTTGTCGCAAATGCATGAGTTGCCTCTAGCAAGCCATGTTGCTGAAGCGGTGGTGGCACCTCAACCTGCACTCTCTCCAGTTCCGAAGAGAAAGTTCGAAGAGTGTGAAGTGAACGCCGAAGCAACCTGGAGATATGGTACCAATCTATTTTGATTGTGCCTGGTTTGAAGATTGGAATGTGGACACAAGTATGTCCAACCCACTCAATCACCACTGCTTTTCGAATCAAAATCTCAGGCAAGCTTTGCTCACCACAGTTTGATTTTGCGAGCCCTCAGAACGAGCTAGACAGCCCATGGACGAAACGTTGGAAAGGACTGGAGTTTGACATGTTGTTCTTCTTCCTCATCTCCTAGTGATGGTCTAGTATCTTCAGTGTTGGTTTTACAGTACGAAATGATGGTCCGTCATTTTGCATGGCGACGCCCATATGGTTTTTCACAGTTTTGGCAGGTTCGTAGGACAATGTCTCAAACCTGGAAACCTGCTCCTCAGGCAGTTTCACTCAGATCGGGTTTTTTGGAAACTAAAAAAACATTGCATGCAAAGTCAACTTGCGCGAACAAAAGCGAAATATGTTCGCAATCTTGTATTTTCAAAAGAACCACACTTCATGGCAAAACAACTGCCGAACCCCAACAGGTAGAAGGTTCACTGCAGTTGTGACACCTTCAACAGATGATGCAGCTCGGGGAACCTCCCGTCTCCACCGTCGTTTGACACGCTGTGTGTGCACCCGGGCAATAGAAGTTCCAAGCTGCAGATTTGCAGCACCAAAACTGTCCTTCAGATTGTTTGAATTCCAGTTCCAGCCCTGTGTGCGTGACTTTTCAAGGTCATGGATCAGAAGGTTTGTGGAACCTGCAAGAAACACGTCAAACATCAACTGGTTCGACAAGAGGTCTTCAAGTGCTTGGTTTGGTTTTCTTTGCGTGCTGAAATCAAGCGGAGTTGAAAAGTCGGCGAAGACGTTTTGGAACACTGCTTGACGGTCAACAACAACAACACAACAAAAACAAACAACAAGTCTCACCTGTTGCCCCTGCCGCCACACTTTGGTGGCGTGCTGTTTGGGATCACCTCACTTGTGGAGATCTTTGCTTTTGCAGTGATGAGCACGACATCACGTTTGGCAACTGGCTTGGGTCGCCATTGTTTTTGGCTTTGAGCATTCGCGCGTCAGTTTCGCCATTTTTGTTTGCAACCTGTGGCCTGCTGTCAAGCCATTGCACTCACGCAAAGAACATGTCGACGACGAAAACATGTCGTCGGTTTTTGGGTTGATGTTTTTTTTGTTGTTTGGAGTTGTTGTTTTGGTTTTCTTGGCGTGAAATTCATGAACGTGTTGGGAATCAGATCTGTCAAATCAGGAAATGATTGTATCAGTTCATGTTTGGGGAGTGTTGCCTGCTTGACTTGAGGTTGGTTGCATTGCAAAAAAGACTGTGGTGTTTCGGCTCCAGCTTCAAAAAACGCGTTTTGATGTTGGTGGCACCAAACTCCAACCGATTAACAATTTTATTCAAGGAATGAACAACATGTTCATGATACAACATTTTTTCGACGGGCCGTCGAACATTTGCATCAAACCCACAATGGCAAAATGCTGTCCAGGGTTTTTGTCTTGGAAATACAATGCACGTTGTAGTTCCAAGGATTGGACTTTGTTGGCCAACTCATACAATCACAATACTTCGATCGTTTGAAGACAATGAAGTACATAACCTCTCCCATCTCCGGCCCACAAGCGCTCTGAAGCGATGGCTTTTGGACCGTTTGTGAGAATCATGGTTGCTGTGGAGCAAGCAGACTTGATGAAACTGGGTAGATGTGGCCGCATCATGCCTTGGCACAAATTCTCTCGAGGCTCAGATCACAATGGTGGCTGGTGGTGCCATCGGCAGAGCAGTGTGAGCCTCAGTGTGTTGGTGACGACACTCCACAATTTCAATACAATATGGTCATACACCCTTTGATTGTCATGAGGTGGTGGAGGCATACAAGGACTGCTGCAATTTTTCACTGTTTGGGATTGTGTTTGATGTGGATGAACATGGTGTTTTTCAAGAACGCATTTATATGTAGCACAAAACAATCTACATGTTGGAGGAAGCAGCCGCTGGACGAGGAGCAGCAGCTGCTGCGGCCCAGAAGGTGGCGGCAAGAAGACGAATGTCCTTAGATGAAGCCAGAAAGGCCAGTTGACGAGTCAGTGTCCTAGGAAGGACCTTGGCGACTTGATGAGACTCGTGTCAGCGCTTTGTATCAAATGGAAGCGGCCTGCAGGTCTTGGATGCAGAAGGTGGCGTCACACCCGCTCAAGTGGAGGCTTGACAGACTGTGCTGCCATCCAGTCCAATCGCCTTTTGGATGCCTTTTGTGGGGTTTCATTGCTTGAGATCAACTCATAGACCCTAAATAATGATGGAAGTGGAAAACCCTTTTTGACAGGAACGTTTTCAAACCCTGCACAAGCTCAATGCCCCTTCCGAGGAGCATGATTGATTTTGCATATCCGCCTTAACAGTCAACAGTCATGTTTTCTCTCAAGTTGCAGGAGTCACCCGGTTCTCCGTACTTGCAAGCCCGCATTGCTGCGGCTCACAAGGCTGGAGCAAAAGGAACTCTTTCTGCATTGGCGCTCAGAGAGTTCAGGGTGTTTGAATGCCCGGTTGTTGCGGTGCCACTGTGCACTCCTTGCTCATTCCAGGTTTTGCTTGAACAACTGGGCGAGAGCACAAGCACCAAGGCTGGAACACGAAGCTATATAAACGGATACGTTGAATCCGATGTGTTATTTTGAACGACAAAGTGTGCTGCACAGTGCCTTTCACTCGGGGTGTGTTTTGCAGATTGCTTTTCGCAGTTTTATTGTTTCAGTTCTTGGAGTGGTTGAGTTTCAGGAAGCCAAGCCACCTGAGGAATGATGAAAGAACAAAACTCATCAAAGTTTGCGGTTCAATAATGCTCAAGTGCTTATACACTTGGTGTTCAGAATGCGTCCTACACACCCTTTGCTCCGTGGAACCGCATGCCGGGAGAAAATAGGCGTTTCGGGACTTGCGAAAGCACATGCGGAACGTCATTTTCCACTTATCTCATGACAATCCATGCCAAGGGCAGAATTTTTCACGGTGCGTGTGGCAACAGATGCCAGTGTACAGGTGAAGACACTTAGCCAGCTTTGATAGGAGCCAGGCTGTGTCGGTCTCACATGGTATGTCGAGCATTTGGGACTCAGTGTCCTTGAGACGTACAGATAAAAAACAGATAAATCGATGTGGTTGAGACAGGTTGAGATTGTTGACAAAGCATTTGCATGGCAGCACTCTCCAGGCGAGTGACATTCTGCGATTTGGCTCACGGGCCAACCATGTTCAGGAACCAATTTTTTGTGTCAAAAACATTTGAATCTAAGTGAAAACTACACATCAATATCAAGCAACCTGTCGGCTGCTACGCTAAGAGCCTCTCAAACAGAGTCTGAAGGAAATTGTAAGACCAGCACCTTAAGGCACCCAAGCACAATCGCAAACAATTACTTGGCTTTACACCCTTCAGTGTCACCTTGAGCATGGCTCCAAAGAAGGACCTAGAGCTATAGAAGGCCGGGCAAGAAGGGGCTGCTTTTTACGGCCGGAAGGACAAGAAGAAGAAAGACGAACCTGCTCAACCTGAGCTGGTCACTGCCTACAAAGCACGTGCTTTTCCCAGAACAAGCTTCGCTGCTGCGAAGCGATGCAAAGCGACTGGGCGCAAGTGCTTTCAATTCTAGGCGATCCTCTACCACCGACAGAGCCACCTGATGTCTCAGAGGCTGCCTTTTTGCAATCTCACACTTGCAACTCTGACTATTTCAATATTCCAGGTGGATGTTGCGTGGAAGACACAAAGGGATCATTATGCAGCGGGCTGAACCTTTGCTAGACCTCATACGTTCTGAGTATCAGCGCAGCCTGTGGTGCTGAGGTACTGCCCCTTTCAGAATGGAATGCGGAGGAGGTTGACACGACTGAATGGAAGTTGCTTGCTCAGATGGTTCAGATGGTCACAATTTGCAGGTGCCAGACTTAGTTGATTGTGTTGCTGAAGGCCAAATGACACAGAGAACCAATTCGTCAGCAATTCGTACGGAACTCAGTGGTAAACTGACCATCTGTTCTTGACAGTCTCAGCAGATTGCTGAAACTTAACAGAATATTTCTTGACAGCACAACAAGCACTGTCGCTTACAGTATGCTAGTTGCTGCTGCACAGTCACTTTTTGAGGTTCTCTGTGGTAAGCATGCCTCGCAGCTTCATGGGTCTTGTGGTGGTCTTGGATTCTGCAACTGACACTTGATGAAACCAGCATCCTGGAAATCCTTTCCAGCAAAAACACCTGTATGTGGCATGTGGCATCAGAAACTCACTAGGCTCATGTGGGAGGGAGGCAGGTCTTGGATTAAGAATGGCACGGCATGCAATCAAATTGAATCTCAGGTTGCTGGCTGGCGCCGTGCTGGTGGATTTGCAGCTCAGCCCATTTGGATGGATTCTCATGTCAACGCAGTTGTGGAATGAGTGTGTTGTGAGTTGTGATATTCCACATGTCAGGCATCAGGAAGAGGTGATCTGCTGCCGGAGGCTGGCTGGGCTGTCCAACAGCCTTGCTTCTTCAGATCTTTTTGGGTTTGATTAGGCTCTCTTTAGAATTTAGAATCATTGCAGCCGAACTTGCACAGGAACCAGAACCTCAGGCCAGAGTGTTGACAGGATAGTTTCATGCTCAACGGTGAGAATCACAAGCATGCTCCGGACAACCATTGTGAGGTGCAGCCGCTGCCTGAACTAAAAGAGGAATCTGCTGAGCAAGTTCCGGACTGGCCCGGACAGTGCATCGCTAGTAGTAACAAGTGCCACGCTACTAGTAACAGGTGCCTTACTAGTAGTAACAAGAAGCTATTAGAAGCAAGTGCCACGCTACTAGGTTTGCTTTGCTTTTGTGCACCTTCTTGAGGTTTTACAGTCTTTGCACCTTTATACATAGCCTGGAGTCCTCCGATTTTCACTTGATTAAATAGACCGCAGGATCCAAAAGCGAAAGCAAAACCAAAGGCCCAAAGCAACCTTACTTCACGGTGGTTTGAAGAATAGTGCTGTGGCCCCGTAGTGCAAACACGACTTCAGGCCGATTCCAAGGCCAAGGCCAAAGCAAAGGGTCAGGCAGCTGAGGTTGGGAGATGCCGCGAGCGTTGTCTGAGAATGTCTGAGAGAAGTAGGGGAAAAGATGAGCAGAAAAGGAGAGGAAAGAAATAGAAAGCCGTCTCTTGTTTGAAGTGGCAAGGGCAAAGTGAAGGCAGCCTAGAAGCAAGGGATGTCAACATGTCATATCTCATTCATGTCCCAAATATTTGAATAGTCATTTGTAGTCCTTGAGATGGCCTTGCGAGGAGGCTCCAGAGAAACCAACAACCATGCAGTGGGCTGCTTAGTAGTTGGAGCTCTGTCAAACCTGTCAATTGGATTCCGTTACAAGCAGTTTTCACAAGCTATCTTGCAAACTACATTCGAGGCAGTATGCTGAGTGCACATATGAGGGCGAGGTCTGAATTTCCAAAGAGCTTTGCCTGTTTTCACACGGTGCGCTTGGGAGGCACGGGTAGTAAGCCAAGCGGAATTTCGATCTCGAGAGCTTTTGCTTGATCTTGATGATGCAACGTCCGGGTCTCATGTCCAATAGGTGCGATAGATGCGATAGATAGCTTGCTGCATCCAGCTTTCGAGGCCCCAGCTGAGTCAAGCAATTGCTTCTCAATTTGCTGCTGTGGCCGAGCATCGACTACTCCTGCCGAGGGGCACCTTTCTCTGGGACTGGGGCAGACTTTGAAAGAACTTTCATTGAAAGAGTGCCTCAAGAGTGGTCAGAGTATCAAGCCGCAGGAGCTCATTTACCCCCAGGATGAAGAAGGAATTCCGCAAGCCTTCCATTGGTTTTATTGAGACCTCTTCTACCATACGAAGCAAATTGCTCAAGTGAGTGCTTTCACTTTGTCCTCTGCCAGGCTGTTCAACCCTCATGGAAAGTACATTGTCAAGTTGTTTGTGCAGGGCAAGTGGAGAAAGGCTTGGCAGCCCCATTGACACTTTGCCAGATCCTTCTATGATTGCTCCATGCGAGGTGGTTATTGATGACGTGGTTCCGATCGGCTATGCCATGCATGGGAACAACATGTATGTCAAGCCCCCATTCATGCCGTTTGTTGCTGTAGCACTGAGTAGCTCATGTGGCTAACTCCTCCTTTGCTGCAAATGTCAAATTAATCCAAATTATGTAGATGATATTTCGTGCTGGACCAGCTCTGTGGGTCGTGTTCAATATTTGAAGGCCCCATTGTTGCCGACCAGCAACGACAACAACATCATTTGGCCGCAATTACTTGCCAAAGCCTTGCCAGACACTCTGAGCAGGGCAAAACAAATGCAGGTGCTGTTGCCATTAGAAGCTAAGGATACAAGCTTTTCAAGACGATCTGAGCTTGCCGCTCCTGCCAGGGCCCAGCATTTTGAGGTTATTTCTCGATGTTGTTGGAGTGCGAACAGTCAAGTAAAAGAAAACACACATACACACACACACAAGTTTGACGCAAGCGGAGTTGCGCAACAAGAGTCTTGAAATGCCTCAGGCCTTGCATATCAGCCTTGACCGGCTGGACGCCGTACCAGCTGTAGATCTGGCCTGTCTGAAGCATTTTTGCTACAGATCTCAAATACTTTTTGCATGGGTTTGTACTTTGTACGGATTGTTATAACATAATTATTTTGTACTTTTGTGAGGCAAGCAAAGTCACTATACATTGAATGCATAATGACCAAGATTTGGCTTGCTTGGCTTGCTTCAAGTACAGCACCTTTGGTGTTTTGATTCGAGTATATATATAGGATGGGTCAAAACTTGGAGCCCAGTCCACCATGGCAACCAAGGTCTCCTGGTTTTGTCCCACAGCCATTTTGGTGTCTGTTGATTGGCCAGGCCCCTTTCCTGGCATGGCCTTGGAGGGCTGAAGTCAGTCCGAACGTTCTGCAGCTTGCGATTCAGCTCGCAGGAGTGGCCACGACAAAAGCTGTGCGATGTCCAAATCCACGAACTCTTTTGACTTTCTGAGACTGCCACGATTCTATGGTTTTATTGTCAAATGTTTTCCTGAAAGAGTTTGCTGAGAGCCTTTGCTTTGGAGGTTGACTTTGAAGCAAGGCAGCGTGCAGAGCTGATTCCCAGCATCCCGGCCGAGGCAAGACTGGGTGACTCAACTTGTCATTCTTGGTGGTCAGTGGTCTATCTCTGGCAATGCCTCTGCTTCTTCAGGCCCCCAGGAAATCTTTGGCCACGAATCAGGTGGGCGCAGAGAGACTCTCTACCTTTGAAGCTGTTGCTGCTTCGATGCACAGCAGGCCATACCGCCACTCACTGTGCAAGGACAGGCCAGACAAAAGGGCTGAGGCAGTTGGTCTTTTGGACAACCCGAAGAGAACCAAATGCAGTCTTGATGCATTTTTGGAGCAAAAGAACCTTGAAGGAGTGCCAGAGCAGAATCTCAAACTCGGTAGCCAGCCACTGGAGGTGAGCCTGCTTGAGTTGCAGAAGGGCAAACAAGCCTTTTTTGCTGCAAGATCTGACCAGGCCGTTCTCGAGTTCCTCATTTGTGAAACCGAGGAGGAACCGCGACAGGCCTGCAAGGGGCACGCCTAAAGGCGAGTGTTTTGGAAACTTTGCATGTCGAGGTTCGGCTCAAGGCTGATACTTTTTTACCTCAGCACGGCCATAACCTCAGTCAGAGGAGGAGGTGACTGGCCCACTATGCCAGTTCATCCTAGTCTTTTGTCTTGACTTTTGTTTTTTTTGGATTCAAGTTCAGGCACCCCGCGAAAGCAAGTTCGCGATGCAGACAGTGAGGACTGTTTACTGTCAGACGACATGCTTTGAGCTGCTTGTCTGAGAAGCTGAAACAGGAAGAAGATGCCTCAGCAGATGCTGGCGCAAATGCTACTGACTCAGATGCAAATCCAATACACCTGACCAGATAGCCAACGCTCTGCAGCGTTTTGCAGGAACAACCAGCACGAGTCGATGAGGCCTGACGGGCTCCCTTTTAGAAGACTGAAAGGATCTGAACCTCTTTGAGTTTTTTGGCAAGAGTGAGATTGTAAGACTTTGGCGGTGCAGGTCGATGACTCTGACCATGATGATCTCGATGAGGAGCTATCCCAGGGTGGAATTGTGCATAGTTGCCAAGCAAAGATCCAGATGTTCAAAGGATGATGATGGCCGCTCCCAAAATACTCATTCTGGTGATGCAGAGGGCGCTGAAAAAAGGACGGATCAGGCCAGTGCCAGCGAGTGTCTTCAATTATGAGATCTTGTGGCTGTTGGTTCACCCTAGCATCAATCCATGCAGGGTGAATCCGTCAACGGTGAAGGCCAGCTGATGCAAAGTCCTGTTGATAAATTCAAGGTCATTTTCAAAGTCGCTTTGATTTGGTTTCTTGATGAGGACAAGAAGTAGAGGCGGTTCCAGAAGAAGAGGAAGAACCCGTTGAAGACTCTGTGCCCAGAGCCCCAGACCTAGGGCAAGGCAGCAAGATGCACAAGTGCAGCATTGCTTAGGCCGTGGGTGCCACCGTGGCCTGATAAGAATCCAGCTCCGCTGATGATGTCGAAATCCTAATTGATCTCACCAGATCTCATCAATTCCTTTTTTCTTGCCTTTGCAGTGGCGAGGAAAAGCTCCATTCAGGAATTTCAAGCTCAGCGCGGGTCCTACCACGGAGTGTTTCTGAAAGTTTCACTTGCATAGATAAGGCCACAATTGGCCACAATGTGTCCAGAGAAGTAGTTTGTCAGTGACTGTTCAGACCGTCGCTTTGGACTAGAACTTGGCAAGGCTTCAAGGGGGGAGCTGGGTGAGCTTCGAGGAGATCGAAACCTCCGCATCGCACCTTTGTAGTGCTTTGGCTGGGACTGTTGGGGATTAGGGATAACAGCAACATGTGGAGCGGAATGAACAAGCTTTGAATGACCTTCAGGCTACATTCCTCCCGGAGATCACGTGTTGTCTGCAACTCTAGATACATGCTGGGGTGGAGAGCATACAGAGGCACTCGGAAAAGCGACCTGTGTCCGATGTCTGCCTGCTTTTATCATGCTTTATCATGCTTTATCCCTTGGCTGTTCCAGGCCTACATTCCTCCGAAGACCAAGTTGCTTCGGATCCGCTTGGCACTTTCAGAGATGGATCAGAGTCCACCAAGGCCAAGAGAGCAGGGATACTTTGAGAAGCGCACAGCGTCAGACGAGCAAAACAAAGGTAAGGGCCTCTTTAATAGGCGCCCTTATTAAAGCGGCCCTTACCATTACCTTTTTGTTTCTTTTCTTTTAATCAGTTCGTAGCAGTTCGTAGCAGTTCGTAGCAGCCAGTGACTGGTGGTAGTGACGTCTAAGACTTCGGACACCTAAAAGCGTTTCTTGCAGCCAGCGAGTAGCGAGGATCTCCAGAGAATCCACCGATGCCAAGCCAAGTCCAGGACCTCCACTGTCGCGACCTCACAGCGGCCTCGACAGTGTCGAGTGGCCTTAGGGTGTTTTCCCTTTCGAGCTGTTGCAAAGCGAATCTGAATTGCAGGTTCCAAACGGTCTTCTTCTACGAGCCTTTGAGACAGAACTATAGATTGGATGAGGCAGAGCTGACTTCACAGCTCTCTGAGAATTGACATTTGATAGATGCCTTTGTGTGTGTGCATCACTTAATCAGCATCCTCCAGAGTTTCTGGGCTTGGAGCATTCCAGACTTTGCATGGTCTCCATGCATGTAGTTGCACTTGACTTGTGCGGTCCAGTCTCCTCCACCTCCAACTCCCTGCAGCTGTGTTTTACAGGCAGAGCCGGTCTTTGAGTTGGTTTGGTCTAACCTCCAGTTCTCTTTGCTGCCAATGCCTGAAGGCTATCAACGGGTGGCGTCCACCCAGCCGTTCGCGCAGTGCGCAGGCAGGGCTCATTTGTAGCAAAACACAGACATCAGGCCAAGACAAAATATGTTGCCACATATTTGCACATGATTTGCATGAATGCTCACGGGCACAGTTGGAGCCGCCTGGGTACATCAACTTGACAGACGGGTCCTTAGTTGAACCGTTTGAGCATCTAACGGAGGAACGATTCAGTTCTAGGATGTGCTTGCACAGTGTTGCTTGAACGAGGTGGGCGAGGGAACACCCCCCTCTGGCTCTGTTTTCCAGTCCATGTTGCTGCCCCCAGGCGAATAAGGGAATTCTTTGAAAACCAATTCCCAGAACAGTGTCAATCACGATTGCCGCTCTGTTGTACCGAAAACAACAATACCAATTCTGGCTACCATGTTGGCTGTGGTGTTCCAACTTATCTACAATCAAGCTTTGTTAAACACTTCAATGAACATCACTCTTCATGACCAGGGCCGATTCTAGACATTCTGATAATTCTTCGCTCTTCGACTGCTGTGCGAGAAGATGCCAATTCTACATTATGACAGGCGAGCATTGGTATTTGGTCCATGATGATGCTGCTGAACGAGCTGGCTCAGTGCTGTCAATAAATGTGAGCTTCTTAGAGAGTCTTATGAAGCTATCCGAGCTTTCAATGTCCAGAATCTGCGTATCCTCTCTGAGGTCGAAAGTTTGCTACTGAATTCATCCAAGCCAGAGTCTTTGCTGGTTGTACGTGCCTTCCTTTACATTGTCCCAAAAGAAGACTTTTCAAATCCTTAGTATGAGAATTAGTTTATGAGTCTTTTTCAATCTTTTTGCAATGGGTTTGACTTCTTGCAGCCTACAAGGTCAGCAGTAGAGTTCTTGGAGCCCGAGAAGGCATTAGCCAAGTATCGGACTTCAATGCTGTCTGTTGGCTCCTTGGAAACTGTCTGTACATCGAACAAAGACACTTCACATTGTGCGTGCCAAAGTGATTCGCAAATTGCATTGCCGCACTGCCACCAGGGCTTTTAGTCTCAAACTGCCACACCCCAGGTGGGCCCCATACAAAATCCGGTGCACACCGGTTACAACGCCAGAAGCTGACCAATCTAGAAGTGCTGTGTGGATTTGGAGGTTGCCTGTTCCTCGAGAACTCGTCATGTTTGAGCTATTTCAAATGTGACATTCTGGGTATGTTTGGCGGAGGTCTGGGCCAAAGCTGAAATCCAAGTGGCGGAGGTGACATGAGAAGTGTGACTAGAAGACACGACGATGGGAGTTCTCAATGCTCTCCTTCGTCAGGAAGGCTTGCAGTCTTTGCAGCTACTCTGCCATGTCACAGATATAGCTCTGTGGCCTTACATTCAGTTGTCTGGACACCGAGAATCTTCTCGCACTTTGCGCACAAAGTTCCAGTCCATCTGCCCCAAGGTCCTGTTTGAGGGTGTCTCAGCTGGAATTGACCTCAGCTTCCAAGGGAATGAGAGGGATTTCTGGCGACGTGCTTGTCACTACTGCAGTTTGCTGTCAGGACTTGTCAGATGAGGAAGAAGTGCGGTGCGCCAACTGGTTTCAATCCCAGATGCACCTAGAACCCAGTCCCTTTCGTGAGGGCGTCAGACTTGCCGGTTTTTGCACATTCCTTTTCACAGGTCCATATCGACATTGATGAAGTCTCCACTGCTACGCATCATGTTCCGGGCTGAACAAGCAGAGCCACGTTTCCTCCAGAGTGGAACTCGGTTGCACCCTCAACCAGTTGCCATGGGTGGCCGAACAGGTCATTGCCACTGGCGGACAAGGCATTGCGTTCTGCACCTGTTCGTACTTGTTAAACATGAAAGATCTTGCTACGGCTGGAGGCCAATGGAGCAGCAAAGTGCAAAGCTGAGCCAAATGGTATGCATAGCACTTGCTTCAGAAACAACTTTCTTGCAGGTATGTGCTGATGCTTGAAGCAAATCTTCCCCCAGAGGCTGGAATCGGTAGCAGCTCGAACCTGTTTCCTCCCGTAACTCATTCCCAGTGCCTCTGCTGCTGCTGCTGCTGGTGGCCTAAAAATGGTCAAAAACAACTCAAAAAGAACGGTTGGCCCCGTGGTTGGGAAATGGAGAAGCCACCCAAAACAGGATGCAGGGATGCCCTTAAGACAAAGGCACAGGGGGAGCAAAACCAGAAAGAAACAAGAGGCGGTGTGTGAGGACACCAGAAAAGGGTGTCTCTAGGGGGCCAAATACTCCATTCCGGTCCGCGAAAATGTCGGCCAACATCATTTTGATTCGATATCATCCGATATTGGTTTACATGGAAAGGAACGTGTAACTGCAACAAGAATATATGACAATCATCGCACGTGTTTCCTTGCATCGGCTCCCATGTCACCGTGCTAAAGAGACAAGACAAAGACTGAAGAGCCCTGGTGAGTGACAGCAGAGGCATTACATCAAGAGACCCGGTGGACAATAGCGTCCTTGCTACTAGTAGCTTCTTGCTCCTAGCAGCGATGGCCTCCAACCTATTTGCGATGGCCTCCACCTAAAAGCATCCTTGCTATTAGTATTGCCAAAATAGATTGTTTGTGCCAAATGGATGCAACTTTCACTGGGTTTTTGCGGTCTTGAGTATTGAGCTTCTTCCGTGAACAACAGTCTTGCTTCTTCAGAGGTGCTTCCAAAGTCTACGGGCGAACTCTCGATTCAGTGATTTCCTCAGTCCTACTCCAGAGTTGATAAATTCGATCCAAAACCAATCTGGAAAGAGAGACCAGTATTGATCTGCAAACTCGCGCGGAGAGGTTGTTTGTCCCTCCTGTCAGCACTCCCCTGGAGATTGATTTCGATCTAGGCGGTGGACCTTTTTGGAAGTGGTGTCGAGTGGTCGAGTGACAAAGCAGTTTCTGGAAGCTGGAATTTCAGAATAGAGCTCAATTGAATAGGAGATCTGATGCAGGTGATAAGGAGACAGAGGACACAACACAGGAAGAGGCCATTTTCACAATGATTTGCGCTGGTGGGCTGTGTGTCAAAACAGCTTAGTCCTTTTCTCTTATATGATTTGTTCTCCTGATTCTAAGGCGCCTCTTCAGCTGCAGATGCTCACCGTTGACCATGTGCTGCGATGGCAAGGTGAATGTGCTGAGAATGCGTGAGGCTCAGAAAGGTGTGGAACTGACACTTCCAAAAAGGTTCCAAAGTGTTGTGTTCGGTGACAGTAACGTTGCCTTTGCAGTAGGCCGTTGAATCCAGCCATTTTGCTGTCGCAAAGGACAAAGGGTTGGTGCTTTGTGAGCGGATCACAGTACCTCCTGAAACAGGCACCTTGCTTAGACAAAGCCAAGTCTCGATGACAAGGCTGTAGCATTAGCCTGCACAGAGCGGTGTAGAGCTGTGTAGTGTAATCGCTATTCTTCGGTTGGAGGCCATCGCTAGTAGGTTGGAGGTTGGACGGCAGAGCGGCCTTTAAAAAAGTGCAAGTTTCCACCCATTAGAGCAGAGTGGTGGATCCAGGTGATGTCACGAGCACCCTGCGGGTGACAGTCGAAGGTTTGCCGCAGGCAGCTTGGGCCCTCCTTGGCCACACAGTCTTACATGCATCATTGAAGCCTTTGCATTTTCAGGCTTTCCTCCGAGCAACCCTGGTTGCACAAATGCCTCCTACCGACGAAATGTTTTAGCCCAAGCTCAATGTGGAATAGCAAGCATGCACGCTGAGCTCCCAAGTTGCTGACAAGGAGACCTCCACCTCCAGAAGGAGCAGCCTTGGAACCACTAGTACGAGGAGCACCAATAAATCCTCGTGACTACAGTGGACGAAGGACTGCAACGCTGCAATGTGGAGCGCGCGTCATATGCCCAAAGATCACTGTTATATAATGTATATATGTATATATATATACACTATTTTATGGGCTTCTTTCTATGCATGTCGCCAACCTACAAAACTTTGCCACCGTCGACGTGTAGCTTTTTCCTCACATAGTTGGAAGCTATAGGCTATGGGTTCTTACATCTCAACTTTCCACGTGGAACCTTGGACCTTGGAATCCTGAAGCGGAATCCACTCTGGAACGAGGTAGTGATGGCCTCCAACCTAGAAGCGTGCATCTATTGGCGATGGCCTCCAATCTAATAGCGACCTGGAACTGGAACCAGAACCTGCGTGCAACTTTTCACCTGGACCCTGAAATCTTCTCCCGTAGCCCCCTCCAATGGACACAGGAACCTGGGCACCAAGTTTTGAGGACAGTTCTCCTCACTCTCTGGAACCCTTGAGCCTTGAGCCAACCGTTGTTCACGAATGGAACAAACACCTACCTTTTTACAAAAGGTGGCACTGTTGCTTACTATCAGATGACGTTCTTCTATGTCAGGAACTGGCTTTCGCAGTGCAAGAAAGTTGCAGAAACAAGTGGGCTGGAGGCAAGGATGTGTTTTCATTATGCGCTCACACAGGATCCCGCAATCTCTTTAGCCGTATCATTGCCAGATCATCTCATTTCCACATGTTCTTCTTGCTGAAGCAGCGCGAGAAGCTGATTACCCTGCTTCCCACATTACTGTCACTTGTGTCGCACAGAGGAGTCTCAGCAAGTCCTAGCAAGTCCTCTACTGAGGACTTACCTTCTCTATGTCCACTTGGATGAATTCAGAGGGCCCGCTGGTCTTGACGGCGGGCACCGGACATCTATAGTCTTTTTAAAGTTTTGAGTTTTGACAATCTGTTCACTTGGCAGTGAAGATGTCCTTCGAAGGCGGAACGTGGCTGTTGGAGAGCTTTGGTTCCGGTGCGTTGGAGGTCCGCTCAACATGCTTTGAAGGGCTTTGACTTTTCCAAGCCTTTACTTCCACCATGATTCTACCACACGGACTCTGCAGGTTGGGTCTGATGCGATGGAGCAAGACCTCGAGGAGCATCCATACGGAGCACTTTGCCACTTACCATCTTCAGGTATGCAAGTAGCTCCCCCCAAAAAGACTTCAATATGTCTGCCATACACGAACAATTTCTCCTCGATCTATCTCGCAGGAGCTGGTTCGGAGATCATGGGCGGAGACTCCTCAGGAGACCTGCAGAGCTTGGAGAACAGTGGCATTTGGGCCTTGTTTTATGTGTTGAAGGTGAGCTTCTTGTTGCTAGTAGCTTCTGGAGCGATGCACCTTGCTTGGAGTAGCTTCTGTTGATACAAATATGATCCCTCAATCTGCAGGAAGGCTTTTCTTGCCTTGACGAATGGGAGCAAGATATTTCTAGAACAATCACCTTCAGAGCTAATCATGACAAAAGAAAGCTGATACAATTATTGTTTATATTTTGCTTTCCAAGGTTGTTTGGCTCCCATGCATCAACTCAGTCATAGCTACACATCAACAATTACTTTGGAGAGCCCAAGCTAGACATAGCTAGACAACTCAACAGTTAATTTATGTTTGTTATCTGGATGTGAATAGCTTCTTCTCCAGGAGGGTGATGCACCGCCACGAAGTGAGACAGCGGCTGCAGCGTCGGAGGACTCGGCTGGACGCAATTGACGCACGTCTTGGTCAAACCTCCGGCATCCCAAAAAGAAGAAGTACATTGGAGAGAAGCTGGCAAAAGAGATGCAAGAGCCGGCGGCGACTAGAAGTCTGCGGCGCACATTGACCTGTCGAAACACAAGCGGAGCCTGCTGGGTGCATTTTCATGGATGGGGCCTATGGGGTCTTTGTAGGTGGCCCAGTTACCCTGGTCCCATAAACTCCATTGCGTGCTTGGCTGTCCAGGCTGTCTTCCGCCCAGAAACAAAGACACAGAAATCGGTCTCAAGGGCCAGATGCACAAGGTGCACACATGGACCGAGCACACCGTTAAAACCACGAGCGGTGAACACAGCAATTTGCTTACCACATTCTTATGTTTCATTCATTTCATTCCATTCCATTCCATTCCATTTCAATTCCATCCAATTCCATTCCAATTCCATTTCATTCCATTGCATTCCTTTTCATTCCATTTCATTTCATTCCAATTTATTCCTTTATTCATTCATCCATTCATCCGTTCATCCCTTCATCCGTTCATCCATCCATTCATGCATTCTGTTTGCGATGGGACCTGCCGTTCGATTATACAGTAACATATTTAGATATATTATTGAAATGGATTTGCGCCTGGGACAGACGTCTTTTCTTTAGCTTTCTTCGCAACATCTAGCTTTCTTCGGCACACATAGACCCACTTCGACACATCTCCAGCGATTGAGTACCCCACCACTAGAGCAGTGCCGGTACGAACAAGTGAATTGTGAGCTGGTGACACTGTTATCTCTATCCTTAATCTGGAACATGTCCACCATGCACCGATGCGGAACCTTCAACATTGGATGCCTTGTAGCTTCTGCGGCTGGTTCAGCCGTTGAGGCGAGAAAGTTGGGTTGCAGCCCGCTCCAGAGGGCAGGATGCCGAGGTGGCTTCGGCAAATTATATATGCAAATCAAGCAAACAGTAACTTCTAGCAGGCTTTGATGGGGTGCTTGGATATCCACAAGGTCAGAGGGTGATGCCGCACCCAATGCTGACTAATTAATGTGTACTAACCTGGGCTAGACTGCCAAGTCTAGCAGAAAGTGCGATGGGTACTAAGCCACCAAGCACTGCCAGTATTGCAAGTTCACTTGCATGCAGCCAAATGCAATGTGACATCCACAGCACCCGAGAGCACTGACAAGACTGGAGGAAGAGAGGGATGGACAGACCAGACAGACCACCGACCGAAGGAAGGAGGGAGAGGGAGGAGAGGGTGAACCCATGAGTTTGTTGAGAAAAGAAACTTTGGTCATGATGACCCTTCCACAGGCTGCCGAAGAAGAAGAAAGCGAGGACTTTCGAAGGGATGTAGATGATGAGGATATGACTACAAAGAGTACTTACCTTTCTTGGATACAGACCTTCAGCATGATATTTGTTCTCTCAGGAGAAAAAGCAGCTCGTAGCTGCGTTGGAGCGCACCAAGAAGGCAAGGTTCCTGTGGGACTTGGTCTAGGTGAATGGCAAGCGCCTTGCTGAGCGAGCATGTGGCGCTTCGCGAAGGTGAAGCATCCAAATACCAGCATTGCGCAGTTCTTGTCTCTGACTCGGATATGTTTTGCTCGATGATACTGTACTTTAAATTCAAGTGCTCAAATCTCTGCACTGCAGGAGCTGCCATGTAGATACTCCGGCTTTGCTGATCCAAGAGGCTCTCATTCTTTTTGGCAAGCTTTTTGCCAAACAAGCCTTTGCCGCAGGATCCATATACTGTGGCTCCAGATAGGCCATTGCCATAGCACAACCAAATCACCTTAGCATCGGAAGTTGACAGGCCTGAATGGAGGCCTTCGGAAGATACTGATGGCTGGAGACTCATTTTGCCAATGTGCTTTCAGTGCTTCGCTATTAGGTTGGAGGCCATCGCTATTAGGCGAGATGCTATTCCTATTATATAGGTTGGAGGCCATTCCTATTAGGTGTATTTTGCCAATGTGCCTTGGTTTGGTGTTTTCCATCACCTCCACCGGTTGGCAAAGGAACTGCTGCGGATGAGATTCGTGCAGAGGATACAGAGGTGGAGAAACTGCAGAACTTTGACGACGTAACTCAATTTGACACCAGATTTGTCAATACTTTCATGTACTTTCATCACGTGGCTTTGAATGGTCATTTGTTCACAGGTTGCAGTTGCGGTAAAGGCCATGGGAACAGAAGGTGAGCGCCAGGCTCGGGAACAGGAGATTGAAATCTCAACCACGAGGCGAGGCCAGCATGGCAGTGTAGGCTAGGGATGAACTTACAAGGCTTTGTCCAGTTTGCCTGGCAGGTGGCAAGCTGCAAAGGAAAGTTTGGAAGTTGGCAGCTCAATACTTCCTGTCAACTCAATATTTGTGAGTGACTCAAACTCTTCCTGGGTTTCCGTCGCAAGTTGCAATTTTTCGTTACTTCCTGTATTTTGTTTCCTGACAAAGTCGTTGATTGCAGCGGTGCAGTCTCCACCATCCTCTTCCTTCTTCAATGGTCATGTTTTTAGCTGTGTCTGGTGCAAAAGTCAAGGCGGCAAAAGAGCGAAACGCCAATCAGATACAGGACTGAGCGAAACGTCAACAAAAGTGAAAGGAAACAAACGAAGACTACGAGAGTTTGAAGGAAGATTTGAAGAGTGAACGATATACACTGCAGGAACTCAGACAGTGGCGTGAAGAACGCACAGCCTTGTCAGAGTCTCAGAACTAAACATTAACAGATGAAGCCAGATACCTTGACTACCCAGGCCCGGTGGAGTTGAAGGAACTTCCTTTGCACCTGCAAGACGCGAATTGAGGGGTGCTCTTCATTCTCGTAGGACACTCAAGTGTTGTTGCAATTATATAGACTCGCCGCAGACAAATCCGCTTCGTTGAGGCATGGAGAAGTGCGCCATTTTAAAGGTTGGTGTCCTTGATGTAAAGCGTGGGAAGCTCAGTTGAGAATTTCCAAAGCATTGATCGAGCTCAGTCATTGATTGATCATGTGAAAGCTTTGTCGTGACGAGTGCCTTCTGAAGTGAACAGTCCAAGGCACAGATCCTGAGCCTTTAAGAGCAGCTTGGCATTTTTGGGCCTCAAAGCTTGCAGAGAGAAGCTGCAAGATCTGCAAGACTGAGAAGCACATATTTGTCTAACAATGCCCGCTGTACAGACCAAGTCATGGTTGCAGGCATCATAGTCCTGTCGAAATCCAAGCCTTCAGGTGGCGCTATCAGACGCAGAAGCAGCAGGCTCCCGAGCCAGAGCCTCAATCGAGACAAGGACAGTGCCAGTTCAGAAAAAGTCCAGAGCGATGCTCCTTGCATCAGAACTATGACCTGACGTTGGTGGAGAACGCTGTACGGAAGTGGCTGCCTTTGTTGCCACTGTTGTTTCTTTGTGTGTTTGTGGTGCATGTGCATGCATGTCTTTTCTGTTTTTTCTCCCCTTCTCTTGTTCTATCCCTGCTTGTCCTTTGCGAATTCTGGTCTTTTGTTGCTCAATGCCAACGCTGGTTTCAGGTTGAGAGTTTTAGATGCAGCTGTTGCCTTCAAAGAAGCCCTCACCAACATGGAGGCCAAGGCAGAGGCAGCAACAAACGCTGCAGCAACGGCCTCTTGGCAGCAGCTTCAAGGCCATGGTGGACGTTTGTTCATGCTGTGAACCATAACGTGTTCTTCTCCAGGTCCCTTAAAGTAATTGTTTTGAAAGCTTTCGGCAGCATCCAACAATTTTAAAGGTCTGTGGGGGATGGTTCAATAGCTGAGAAAGGCCATCAACGTTTGTTGCAAGTTGTGCTATGGGCCCAGGCCGCAGCTGCAGAAGAAGGCAGTGAAAGCTATGAGCAAGCCAAAGAAGCTGCTACAACAGCTGAGGGGGAAGCAGCAGGAGCCTCAATCTTCTCCTTCACAGGCTTTTCTTTCTGACCGTTGTTGGTTTTCAAGACTTGTCCGAGGTATATAATGTATTTCTGGCCCAAAGTAGGTTGCTGCCTGACCCGTTTCAGATGATGATGTGGCTCTGTAAAGGCTCATAGTCATAGTCCACATGTCAAAGGCAATGGAACGTATGACATTGCTGAGTTATGGACGAATAGTTGAATGGCCTGAGGAGGGTGAACATAATGCCAGCATGCAATCAGCAAGCATGCACGGATTATTCTTCTCCAGAAGATGAGTGGCCTGTATGACCTTTTGTGATTGCCCCTCACCTTCTTCCGATCCGCTCTTTTCTGCTCCTCATGCTGGCTGCATTTAGTCCTCATTTAGTTTTGCAGATTGGGCAAAGGGAAATTGCTGCTGCTGCTGCTGGTGCTGAGTTCTCTACTCTACTATGTCACGAAAGGTAGCGGTTACGCTACCTGAGTTTTCCTTTTGCTTTAGCAAAAATGTATTAACCCAGAGCTGCAGCCTATCTCTCCGAGAAATGGTCCCCGACATCTTCGTTTGCTGGCCGGGGGGGGGGGGGCCCCCCCCCCCCCTTCAACTCCACCCTAGCGCCTCGGGGTCAACGGTTCGAAAACACTGGTATTTATTCAGCTCTTCCAGTCCTCAGCAGTGACCAAAAATCATGGAATTTACAGTGTTTTTTGTGGCTGTCCGGCAAAAAGCACCGCAAAAACCGATGGTTTTTGATGCGTCTCGGTTAGAAAAATGACCGAAAAAAGACCAAAAACCAGGAAAGATTTTGTCGGAAAGGGCTTTTGAGGCTTTTGGAGGCTTCAAAATTGCACAAAACTATGGTATTTACAGGGTTTTGTGCACCTTCCCGGCAGAAAACGCCGGTATTTACATGGTTTTCTGCGCTTTTCCAGCACTCGACCGTGGTGCGCCTCTGGATCGACGGCTACAAAGTACCGTAAATACCAGTGTTTTCAGCTCCTCCTGTCTTCAAGCGTGGCCTTAGAGCTTGCCGCGGCTGTGGATCGACGGCAACGAAACCTCGTAAATACCAGTGTTTTTGAGCACGTCCTGTTTGCAAGCATGGCCTGCGGCCACGCAATTTACAGGGTCGCCGCACGTTACTATGTAAATCCGAAGTTGCATTTGAGAAATATGTGACTCCTTTTGAAGGCACGTCAACCTGTATTGAAACCGTGCATTAGTTTTCTTTCATCACGCTCGGTCACTTCTCTTCCCTCCTCCCGGATTACGCCTGATTCCCTGCTACCTTTCGTTCACCCCCCTCCTCTCTCAAGTCTCATCATGCTGTCAAGTTAGTTGATGACAAAAGCCCGTGCCACCAGGATACTCTCCTGTGAAAGACTTTGTCCACTGAGTTTTGTTGCATCAGCTGGTTTACAGGTTTGAACAAGACACATATGATATGCTGGGACTTGAAAGCAGCAAAACAAAAAGAAAACTGTTGTTTCAGATCTCCACCAATTCTGTTTGATTCGTGACACTGAAGGCTGAAGCTGCCAAAGGTTTGGAAGAGTCCCTCTCCGAATTCAAGGCCTCCAAGACACAGGTGATTGGCTTTCACAAGAGCAATCCATCGTAGAACTGGCAGGCCAGCATCAAGGAGGCTAGTGCTGATGCCTCAGCTTCACTTCTTTAGAATGTTCCAGATATGGTAGGAAACCTCATCACTTTCTGCAGGGAAGTCTACGAGTCCATGATCCCAATAAGGCAAGTGAGATTCCTCTTCCAGCAGAGCTTCTGAACGAGGATGACTCTGTTTGCGGCTGCATGATGTTGCGTTTTTGAGCAGCATCCTCAGACACCTCTTTGGCAGGAGCCAATGGAAAAGGCCGCGGATATTCTGAAGCAGCGCTCCGCCGAAGCTGCGGAGGGTCTGATCCCAAGCGGTGGAAGGGCAGAAGTTCCGAAGCATCCCTGGCCGTGGATGGGCAGTGCTTTGTAGGTGCGGAGCCTGCGGAGCCCAATGCCTGAAACGGGCGGGAGTTTCCGAGTTTGCCAATCTAAGAATGTGGAACCAACAGCAACTTGCAAGCAGTTGTATCAATCTCACTATTTTTGTTGTTGTTTCTTGGACGTTGACGTATTTTTGTTGAGAGCTCTTTGTTTCACTCGAAGCCGGGCTATGCCCTGGTGAAAAGAAGGCCTGCCTTGATGTAGCCAACATGATGCTTCGCTGTGACATTGTTTGCAGCTTTGTGCTGTATTGCTTGTTCTTGTGGGCTCAAGTTGGGGTTGGCGTGCATGTGCATCCAACCCTAGCTGGCAGGAGCACTAGGGTCGCGGTATGTTGGATCCCCAGTCGAAACTTTTGCCCTTGTTCCTTTGCATTCATAAGTCTTAGCTTGCTTCTCTCTGACAATCTAAATCTACTACAGGTTGTTGCCTTTTCAAGAGAAGAACGGCAAACATCCGCAGAAGGTTCAGTTTGCAGCCATACTTACTGGTTATGCTGTGAGGTCTGGCCCCCGGCCTCATGAGCTACGGTCTGCCGTGAGCCTTAGAAGAGTCGCTGTTTCCAAACGTTTAAAAAGAAACTCATATATATATATATAATATACTCAAGAAAGGTGCAGATCAACTTTTGCCATGAAAGTTGTTCCTGCAAAAGTCCATGTGGTAAAGGAATATGCTGTTTCTGTTCTGAAGGCGCTGGGTGCTGATCCCAAACTTGCTCATGAGATAGCATTAACGCCACTGACTCAGAGTCTGGAGTAGTCACCAAGAACAATCTTCACTGAGAAGCATTCGGCAGGGGAAGCCAAGCTGGAAATGCCAGACATTGGGAGGCCAGAGTCTGGCTGTCAGCATATGGAGATACAATCTTTTGGGACTGGCTTCTCTGAGAGCTTGACAGGACAAACCGAATGCTGGCTACTCGGGTACACCGATGTGGAAAATCAAAGCGCAACTGCAAGAGCAGCAGGCACCAAGCCTTGGATACTGTTGAAAGTGAGACTGGTTTTGTGTGCTATTTTTGAAAAGCAGTTCAAAACCAATTTGATTTTTTGGTTTGTTTCCTGGCTTAGTTATTGTCGGGAGGCGAATGCACAGTCTGGGCCTCTCAAGGTGCCAGAAGGCTTCAAGCAGGTGAGGCAGATGGGATGTGCATGGTTCACAAAAAAAAAATGTGCAAGTTCAGGTGGAGAAAGGGAAGCCGATGTATTACAATGACAAGCGTCAGGCATCCTCACAGATTTCAGATGGGCTATGCAGCTATGTGACAGCGATTGTTTTGACCTTTGGTTTTGAAGGTTTATTGGAGTGGGGAAGATGGCAAGACATATGTCTACGATGCTGTCATGGAGAGATATTCCTTGTGCAACTCTCAGCTATAATGCAAATGGCTTGTAATTAGCAATTCATCAGAGTGCGTCAGAACCACAAGCTATTTCCAGCACAACAACTAGGAGTTACCTTGACATCCATTATATATATATATACATATCGTTTTTCCTAAAATTCTAGGAACCAAACGATTAGTGCGAGCGTCCAACCTGGGAGCTAACTACTTAATCAAGCAGGCGCCTAGTTAATTAAGTAGAAGGAGGGCAGGCGGGCTGAAAAGATGAAAGAACAACAAGATGACAGTTGGTGCTGATAGTGCAAGAACCTCACCCGATGCGCTCGGGCTCGGACACAAAGGTATTCAGGCTTGCTTTTGCACTCCTGCCCCTGTTCTTATCGTTCCTTTTTCTGCTCCCGCACTCCCGCACCATGGGACGCTACTAGGGGCTCCTGGCCTTGCTACTAGGAGCCAGGACGCAAAGCACTTTTCTTCCTGACAGTCCTCAAAGTATTGCACATGGTGTATGCCGCAGCAGACCGACCAAAATAGGATAATGGTTCCTTTTCTGTTGCAAGTCTTTCAAGGACAATACAGTGAAAGCCTAAGTGGCCGTAAATGTCTTCCGGATTCTTCCTGCATATCAACCCCAGCAGCAGATGGACAACATGGCTAGGAAGAGAGTTGACAGAAACATTGTGGTTGCAGAAAATGAAGATGACATTGACGGCTACTTTTTTGAGGCAGTTGAGAAAGAGAAGGGTCTTCTCAAGCACTTGTGTTCTAAGGCTCTATGATGGGAAAGCGTTTGACATTCGGATTGCTGTTGGCTCATGCTTCCACGAGAAGGCCACATTCCAGCGCGGAGAGACCAGGGCAGGAGACCACAGGGCAGGAGAGACCAGGGCAGGATTCTCACTTGCGAGGCCTTCCAAGCACGCCATGTACTAGTCAAGGACTTGGCCAAGGCGGCGCAGGCTGTCCAGGGCATGTATAAGGATAGCTTGTGCATGGGCTTTAAGTTTTGAACACATTCGCAGTCAGGCCATGCGCATGTCCGTTGAGCACTTGGATAGGCTGTGAGTTTCTGATACACTTCAATCTCATTGTATTGTTTGCCGCCAGCAGCTGATTGCTTGATCGGGAAACACTATGATAATAGTCTGCATGTAAGACAGAGTGAAGGCCGTGCGCACTCTATGCGCTTTACGAGGGTCATAGAGGAAAGCCAGGCTCAGGACCGGAGAAGCTCTTTCTAAAGATTTGGATGATGAGTTAGTTTATCAAGGCTTGAAGGACGATTGGTATACTTTGATGGATCTGGATTTTGCAACGGTTGCGAACGTTGGAGGAGCTGCCAATGTGTGTGCTGAGTTTTGTGTCCTTGGCTTAGTGAGTGGACTCTGTAGAGATCATTTTCGCACTCCGCTTTTGATGATGATGTCTCCGCAAAGGTGAAGCAGCTTCATCAAAAGCTGCTCCCCAAGCTCTCAGCTTTTCGTGGCTTCTGGGAGGAGAACTGAGCAGAGAGACGCGGTGGTACATTCTCAACAATCGAATTCTTGTGGACCAGGACACTCGACTTGAGGTGGCAATGCGAGAAAGTGACTTTCTTAGTGTCAGTGTAGAACGATTGAGTCACTTGAGACAAGAGCAGAGTGCTCAGGCTTCGAGGAGCTAGATGCGGAGTTCATAGACAAGTTTCACTCCAAGTTGTTTTTCCAAGCTGCGTGAAGTAGCAGCTGCGCAAGACAATGAACAAGACGAGATTGGCAATGCTTGCCTTTGTATTGGAACCATGCAGATGTAACTGAAATACACGCGGTTTGAACATGCCTAGCAATGGGGTCCCGAGGCACCCCGGGGCCACCGATGGCTGCTGTGCCACTGTTGCACTGGTCACCGGAGCTCGTGTTGTCGGAACCTTGACTAGGAACCAAATGATTAGTGCGACAGGGGAGCTTCCTTGAAGAAACGTGAACCATCCTGCGTCCCGTAGCTAGGAGCGTGTTTAGTACCAATAGAGCTACTAATAGCTACCTAGCTTCTAGTTGCGAATAGCTTCGTGCCAACTATGCATGAGGTCATTGCGACGCTGGGAGATGTTGCTGCAGTTGCTGGGAGCTAAAGGAGGGCAGTCTTCTTTCTTTTTTCCTTCAGATCTGATTTTTGGCTTTCCAGGTCTGCATGCGAAATGGGGAGGCAGAGGAATTTGCCAAGCCTCATGCCAGGATCTGAGAGGATTCCTATTCGCGCTGCTTCGCGGGGAAGTCCACCCGCACCGACGGAATGCCCCTTCCATCCACTTGTATTCACTACTCGTACATGTAATTGTTCTGCCACAACCTGGCTTTTGCTGCTCCACCACGATGACTGGCTCAAGCCAGTGCTTATCATTTGATGATGTGAAACCCATGGCATCATCATCTCTTGCCAGCAAGTTTATCGCAAGAGCTCTTTCCCCAGCGGCTCAGAGTCGCAATTCTAGTTGCTCCACCCATGGCTGTTGCCGGTGCGATGCTGCTGTCGGTGGCTCTTCTGTACTCGTGCCCTCGTAGCCAAGCAAAAAACCGTGAGTAAGGTGTACGTGGAAAGGTTTGTAGAGCGAGTCGGGAGTTGAGGGGCTTAAATTCCGATCGTTGCTCCACAGCTGGACTTGACATGTCAGAATTGTTTTCAGCAGGATACAGATACGTGTAGAAGACTCTATCCCTTGTGTTGCATTGAAGCTGTGCGTTTTATTTTGACGAGGTCATGGCGGTTGATCAGTGCGCCAAGAAGACTTGAGACGGTTCAGGGCGTATGGGTCCAGGTGCATAGTATGGCCGGATTTTGGCCAGAATTCTGGTTGGACGCGTGCTCTCGCGGCCAAGGAAAACCCACAGGTTAACAGTCCAGGCAACATTTCGCTGAGGATCTTTGAGGCAAAGCAAGCGACTGTTGTTGTTGTTGTTGTTGTTGCAAAGCTTGTTTCTCCCTTCTACCATGTCCAGCTACAGCCTTGGGTCCTTGTAAGGTTTCAGTCTGCCCTCATCTAAGTCAGTGATCAAGTGTTCGTGGCAAAGCTGCAGGGCCTGGGCTGACCTGGCAGGTGCATGAGTTGTATTTATGTGTGCAACCATATAAAAGGGTTGTGTACTTGCGTGTATAATTGTGGGCATGCGCGTATTGAGATCTGAGGATGAACATTTGAAGCTATATTGTCAAAGAGAGACGCCCCCAAAAGTCCCCAAGCAAAATGCAAACCCATTTTTTCGTTGTCGCTGTTTATGAAGCAACAAGGGCCAGCGCCCTCTGCCGGCAGCGGCAACGCACCGCGCCCAGGGATGCTGGGCCACCGGTTCCAAGAATGAAGGTGGAATGCTATTCTGCGAAGCTGCTGCGACAAGCGTCCTGCATGGGATTGAAATGGGTTGACTCGGTGGAGTTTGAAAGCTGCTCTTCGACTTTGGGAGTCAGCGTGTTGGTTTGCTTTGTTTATGGACGGTGCGTATCCCAAGATAGGCCCTAGCCAGGGGTTTCATTTAAAAAACCTGTCGGGAGGAGCGCTGCGGTTATGCCCCCGACAGATCAATTCACATACCGCGCCGGCCCAGCTTTGCAAGAAAAGAAGAGCCGTTTGCGCTTCTTGAGGCCCAGCGGACCAGCAGCTTTTCATTGACTCATTGACCAGGTTGCGACGACGGAGGTAGATGAAGGCCGCGCTCTGTGTGCAGACTTATGCCTTGCTTTTTTGGA